GCCAGCAAAAGATTTGGTTCTGAATTATAATATTTGATTATTTCAATATAAAAACTTGGGTGATGTTTCCTCCTCCTCTTAATAATAACAATAATAATAATATGATGATGATGATGATGGTGATGAGCTGATCCCATACCTTTAACAGCTTCTGTTGCCTGGAAGTTAAGCAGGCCAGTGTGGTGCAGTGGTGAAGAGCATGGGACTGGGACTCAGACGATCCGGGTTCGAGTCCCCACTCGGCCATGGAGCCAACTGGGTGGCTTTGGGCCAGTCACAGACTCTCAGCCCAGCCTACCTCACAGGGTTTTTCTTGTGGGGATAAGGCTGAAAGCAGAAGGAAGAGAATGATGTAATCTGCTTTGAGTTTGTAAGAAAAAAGTGGGGTGTGACTCTAATAAGTAAATAAATAAATAAATAAAGCAGGCAACATTTTCCCCATGATAATAAGTTGGTGATTATGAGTACTGTTAAGATACAGGAGCGGGGCCAGGAAAAGAAATGAGAGAAAGACTGAGACACAACGATGAGTTCATGGCTGGCAACTGCAGGGAGCATGGTTGGATCCGATGTGGCCCCTTCCTATCATTTGGATCTTACTGGGATCTCTCCATTCTAAAAGAGCCTCATTTTATAACCGCACAGCCCAACCAGGCTGTGCCAAAAGCTCAATTTGCAATTCTAGGTGCTCTAATTTCACCCACAGGTGTTGGAGCGATTTCAAGATCTGTAGTGGTGTATGGGGGTCAACTATGTTTCGGTGAAACAGAGCTGTGTTCTTTGTACCTAAAACAGATCATAAACATGACATGTATCCAGTTCCCTCATGTTTACACATTTGCTTAAGGGCATTTCTTTATCGTCACCAAAGAGCACCTCTGGTTCTCACAAAGCAAACAATCGTGTCTTTTATTTGAGGGCAGCTATGAGCCAGCACAAAGAAAAGACCCTGTGGAAACAAGGATACTAATCCGGAATTATGTGCCCTGTCCTTGACTTCTTGGCACAATCGTACTGATGTAATAAACTGTTCAGAAAGGAAGAAAATGTCATACTGGCGTGATCCTTGAGTCAACAAAGCTTGTAAACTGGGAGCTAGCAGCTGGCAGTGCCAGGGCTAAACCCCTCCCTCTAGAAGGAGCTATTTGCCTTCCCTGTATTTATTATATTGCATAGATGCCCCACCAAAAACAAGCAGGGAGAAAGACTCCAGGATGACTTACAATAATACCTACAGAATCTATATAGTGGGGCATGGCTTATGGTGTTTTGAAACAAGTGGACTAATATATGGTGGTCTCTCTAATGCAACTTAGGGCCTGGTTACCAGAAGGAGCAACTCCTTCCATACATGCCTGCCCGCCCCTTAAGATCTGGAGCAGAGGCCCTTCTTCAGGTGCCCTCCCTGAAGGAGATTAGGAGGGTGACTACCCAGAGAAGGGCCTTCTCTGTGGTGACACCCCAAGTGTGGAATTTGCTCCCCAGAGAGGTTCGCCTGGCACCGTCACCTTATTCTTTTTGGTGCCAGGCTAAAACCTTTTTATTTTTCCAATGTTTCAAGATCTGATTGTTTTAATTTGGGTTTTATTGTCAGTTGGAATGTTTAGGATGCTGTATTATTTTACATCATTGTATTGTTAAACCTCCCCGAGACTTCAGTAAGGGATGGTCTAGAAAAGTTTTAAATAAATAAATAAAGTGGTGTATGCAAGATCTGGAACTCCCAAGTTCAAGCTGCACTGCTACATCTTTAGCAATAGGATTTATGGCAATGCAACTGGTGCTTTAATTCATTGTCTACCACTCTCTTCTCAGAGTATCCCTCCAATGAAACTTGTTTATTTGTGTATTAAACTTGTATAAAAGCCACCTGTTAGCGTAATGCTCTCTACTTGTGTATCTCTGATGTAAATAAATTTCGTATTCACTCTTCAAATGGCCTGTGTGGAACCTCTTCGCAGAATTACTGTAAAAAGAATGAGTGAGAGAGTGAAAATAAAGTTGAAAGCCAAGTGAAAAGCATTAGGGTTTTGACAAGATCATCTGGACTTCAGATTCACCCTGTACATTAGCAGGGAAGGAGATGGAATATGGTGAAAATGGCCCAGTTGTTAACAAAAGCCAGGTGGTAGTGGGCAATCTACTGCTGTGGATGTAGTTCCCAACCACAATTGTGGTGATAGTCCCTACCACAAGAAACAACGATCCCTTTGAAAAGCTCGCTCCCTCCTGACACACTGGATGCCTCTCTCCCTCCACTTCTGTCTGCACTGATAATATCCTGCATCTCTGCCATTTTTCTCCCTCTGTAAGGTTGGGGGTATGGCGGTGGGAAGCTAGACAGAGGCACTGGTACCCAGACAACACAGCTAATATGGTACGAGGCTAAAGTCCAATCACCAGTCCAAGTCATAATCTAGGACAAGCCAAGGTCAGAGCAGGGAGTGAACGGGGAGCAGACAAAGCATAGTCCAATTAGCAAGAGCATAATCAGAACAGGTCAGAGGTCAGGATATACAGGAAATACATGCGGCATGTAGGCAGCCCCCAAAGGGACTGCCAAGATGGAATCTGTACAAATCAATTACATACACAGTTTGGAATTGGGGTGGGGGATCACACAGGCAGTTTGCTATAGACACATGAGAGTAAAACAATAGGGTTCAATGGATTAGGGCAGACACAAAAAAGAAGAAACTTCAGGACAGGAAAATATTAGCATATCTAAAGGTGTACCTGACTTGCAAAATGGTTTCCTGATCAGATCAGGAAGCTATCTTAAGTCTAAAGCTGTTCTTGCAGTGTCAGGCTTTCAGCAGCCATATTATTTTATCCTGACACACTGCTCCATTTATTATCTCTGTGCTGTATTATATTTGCAGTTAATCAGAAGATGCCTCCACTGGCTGATTAAGGTTGTTATGAATAGCTTTACTCTAATTGGTGGAGGGATGTGAAGGGGTGAGACAAGAAAATGGCACAAAGGAAGGGGAATGAAGGAGGGGCAGTAAGTCACTCTTTGCCTCTGCCCACCTCTTGGGTCCTGTATTTAGTCCTCTTCTCAAGAAAAAGATCAAGATGCAGTAAGAGCACTATGTTGGGAAAATTCAGATAAATCCTGGCAGAAAAATGTTGCTTATATGAGACTTTGTGTTATAAAAATGCCTGCACTCCTTTCTCAGAAAGCGCCAGAATTCCAAGCCAGGTTACTGTTTCACATTACTGTTACTTTAAGAGATTGGAACTCTTCCAGCTCACCTGAGGAAGCTACTACATTCATTTGTAAAGCTTACTACACTGAGACTTTTATGCTGCTCATCTGCTAGCAGCAACAACCTGGCCTGATTAATTCAAGTGCAGGCTGATAGCCAAGAGCAGCAATGCCTCATGATCATTATGTCAATCTCCCACTGTTCCCTCTGCAGACCTATCACCTTCTTTTGACCATGTTCCCCTTCTTTCCTCATCACCTGCCCAGCTGCTGGGCCCATGTGATTCAGGACCTCTGAAACAATTTGTATGTGTTCTAAAAGCTTGTAGTTGGTCTGGCCTCTACCCAAAAGTGGTGTTGTAAGTATGGGTTCTCCGCAGAGGGATGCCTGAGAGATCGTTCCATAAACTGCTGGGGTTCAAGGCACAAGGGGTCTCCCCCACCAAATCCATTTATTCATTCTCATGGTTGCTATCAAGACACCCCGTCAATTGCTAACATCTTTTCCAACTTTACCAATGCTCCATTTCATTCTGACTTGCACCAGAGGCTGCAAGGCTTGGGCAGTTGCCAGAGAGCAAGTCCCTGAAAGAGGCCATCCCGAGATATCGTGCCGCCATATTGACTCTCAGTGCCGGTGAACTGGACGGTGCCTACACCAAATAAAAGTTATGAGTTTTGAGGTCCCTAGCCATTTTTAGCCAGTGGACACATTTGGAAGTTTTAATGCATGCCAAGGGTGCTCTCACAAAATGGTTTCCATGGTGCAGGGGAGCTTGCCCATTTCTAAATGAGCAGCCACTGGGGCCATGCTCGTTTCCAAGATGCTCATTAAGAAGAAAGTGAAACACTCATTTGCAAGAAGATAGTGAAACTGAAAGAAAAGTGACTTGCCCAGAACATAAATCCAAAGCAAAGGATTTGGATTCTGAGGTCTAGGACACAAAACAACCCTTGTGAACTAGAGGGCAGAGCTGTGCTGTGTGGCATGCCAGCCTCCTAGCTATAAAAAAAGTAATAATTGAGGCATCTAATGAAATAAAATAAAAAATAGGAGGGACTTGGTGGGCACCAGGACTGATGTTCACAGGCACCACATTGTAACACAGCTCCTTATGTCCAGGTTGCTATTTAGTGCCCAAACTAGTGCATTAGTTTCAGAACTATCAGAGAATCATAGAACAGTTGAGTTGGAAGGGCCCAGAAGGCCATCGGCTCCAAATATGAGAATTTTCTTTTTTTTTAAATCCATGCTATGAAGAGAAGTGATGGGTGACCTCGACAATGACCTTCAATGCCATTTTTTTCCAAAGGTGGCATCACTCTGTATCCTCTTGTTATGAACAAACTGAACTGCCATTGTGTACTAACATGGGGACAAGTAAAAATCGACAGTGTGATCGATCTACTTTGTTGTTGTTATGAGCCATCAAGTCATCTCCAACTTATGATGATCCTATGGGGGAAAATGTGGCGGGTTGGCTGGGCCAGCCAGTCAACCTCAGCAAGCGGCGCGAGAAAGTTTAAAGAAAGAAAAAAAGACTGCAGTCCAGAAATCAGTTACAAAGCATGCTCGGTTTAGTTGCAGGGGGAGAACAGCAAAAACTTCTTCCCCCAAGATTTTTTCTTCTTCTCTCTTCTTGCTCTCTTCCCCCCTCACCACCCGCATCTGCTTTTATTACTTCACACTTTTTACCTAGGCATTTGAATACAGCCAATTAGCCATTGTATACAAGCAGCCAACACCTTAATGCTTAGGTTACAAGCCTTATATGGTTACAAGCCTTATATGGTTACATAGATAAATTACAATACTCTTGGTCTTCGTGTGGTACGTGAGTACAGCATGACCCAGCAATGAATTCCCACAGGAAAACCCTCCAAAGTGTCTGGTGCTTCATAGCCCTGCTCGCATCTTCTAAACTCAAGGCTGTGGCTTCCATTGCGGTCCATCCACCTACATCCACTACATCCACTCTTCCCCTGGTGTGATTGTCTTCTCCAGTGCCTGGCTTCAGTTTTGCCATATGTGCTTCCAGTCTGATCTGCTACTAGGAGTGAATAGAAAGAGTGTTTTTTGATTGATTGATTGATTGATTGATTGAGGGGGGTGATTTTGAATGGACAAAAGAGAGTTAAGCTTTCTCTTTGTTAAAGAAATGAGTGGAGCAACTAATGGCTCAGTAGCCCAAACAGGTTGTCAGGTGAAGAACTCAGGGTACAAATGCCTGATCACATGCAGTGACCATATAAAAGGTTCTTTCTCTTGACCTCAACTCTCAAATAAATTCAAACATTCCTCATGCCTATTTCTTCATATCTGGCATCACAAAAGTCCACTTGTTTCAACCTCAGGGAAATTTGCTTGTTCAAAAGCATTATTCTGCACAAACTTCCTTTTACCAGAAAAAGGGGCGGGGGAAGTATGGCACTTTTCAGCAGCAAAAGGGTTTTTGACTAAATAATAAGCAGGTCTTGGAATGATTAATTAACCAAGCTGTTCAGTTGAAATATATTTGCATATTGTGACCAAGTTGATACGGCAATACTGGCAGACTTGCTGCTCACAGATGCAGTGGATGTTTAAGCCTTTGTAACTTCTAGTCTAGACTACTGTTTATGTAGGACTGCCCTTGAAGGCTTCGAGTGGGAGCTGATGCAGAAGTGAAAGCACATCTGGATACATACTCACATCTGCATCATGGTGCTTATCCAGGCCCCTCGGGATGCCCTTTCAGCAGGATGTACATGCACACAACCCTCTGGGTTCACTAACAAGTTGCATGTGACAAATGCTGGATTAAAGCTTAAAACTGTGGCTGGTTGATCTGCCAAGTAAAACCTGCAGAGCTTCCCAAACCATTGTGTTCTCTACAGTTAAATTATTCCCAGGAACACAAGAAGGCTATTTTCTTTATCATGGCATCTTGTACCTGCATTTTTTTCCTCTCCATTTGCTGTGTGACTTGCTTTTGAGCCGGGGTGACTAAGTCACTGTAAAAATAATCATAGTTGTGACGCACCTCCTGAACTGCATTGTTAGGTATTTTTTAGTATGAGGGTTCTTCAAAAAGTTTCCATACTTCTTAAAATTCTATTTATTAAGAATTTAAAAAACAAATTACATGACTTTTCTACATAGACACCTTCCTTTGCAATGCATTTTTCCTAGTGTTGTACCAACTTTTTAATGCTATCAGCAAAAAAGATATAAAATATATTTATAAAATATAAGCACGGAAACTTTTTGAAGACTCCTCATATATGTAACAAGTTTAGAGGATGCGTTAAGCTTTCTCAAATTAGTTGAGCAGGTTTTTCTCTGTCTTCTCACTGATAACACATAGTTTGTGTGCTGGATTCTTCATTCACCTGCTTTAATCAATGATTGCACAAGTAGTGCAAATACGCATAATCAGCTACTGCAAACAATCCAAAAGTAACCTGACTTGAAAGAGCATTTCCTAATCTGGCCATTAGGTATGAAGGAATTCACATTTCACTTGTCACAAATGACCTCAGGTTAGAACTGTGCAAGTTTTTCTTTAGTCCACATAAAAAAATGCCTAAGAATGCTGAAACATGATCACAGTGGGGGTGGGGGCGGGAATGAGCAGGGTGGCTGGAAATCTATAACCTTTAATTTACACCCCACAATTAAGCTTCTACAACAGGGTCAAGTGAATGGCCAAATTCCATTTCAAAGAAGTATTCAGGTGCTGCATTCCAGAGATGGGTGAGCCCAAAACCAAAAGGGGCAGGTCAAAATACAAAAATACCAGCATGCTTCAAGTAAGCCTTGGGAGAGGCATTTCAGTATTTCAGAATGGGAAGAAAAAACGGAGGGAAAACAGGACTGTTTGGTGGCCTGGAAACCACCAAACAGTCAGTGGTTAGGGGGAATACAAGGTGGAAGAAGGGAAGAGGCACGCAGTCACTGGGACCCCACGAAGGCTGAAATGGGACCCTTGGGTGGGCTAGTTTTGGCCCCAGGCCTGAAGTTCTGCAGTTGTGCTCCAGAGGAAAGGAAACACCAGTTAATTCTAATGGAGGGTGCAGCCTGGAAAGAGCCCCTGGGCAGAGCAGTAAATCAAGCAGAGATACAACAGGAAACCTTCTTTGGATATAGGCCACTAGCTCCCCTCTCGAGGCATACTGGCATACCTCTGCATGGTGTCTGGGCATTACTCTTCCAGACTGTAGCTCTAAGAAATGCTTCCATGGTATTTGGTGGGCTGGTGGGGGTGGAGTCTACAAATGAAGCCTTCACAAGTGACAACATGATTTTGAGGTGCTCCTTTGACTGGAGGGAGAGTGGGCAGGGCAAACACAAATCTCATAATATCATGGAATCATAGGGTTGGGAGGGATCTTGGAGATCATCTGGTCCACCCCTCTGCTCAGTGCAGGCTCTGCAGTGAAGAATAAAACTACAGCAGCACCTGCAAGCGACCTCTACTCTAATACCGCCACTAATTCCCAAGGTATTCCCAGATTGTCAGGTGCTCTCTTTAAGGGGTTAACCTGCTTCCTTGTAAGTTCCCAGCAGGTTCAAATCCTACCCTTGGGAGATAGTCAGTCCAGCATTTGAAAGTCACCATTCAGTCTCCCAGCATATCTCTGGGTTCAGCATATCCAGCTTTTTCAACCACACCTGATAAGATTCGTATTCTGCACCTCTCACCCTTTGGACATGCTCCAGTTTGACCAAAGTCCTCCTTAAATGTAGCACCCACTTTTGGACACAGCATTCCAAATTTGGTTTGGAATGTGCAAATCCAGAACAGAACAAAACAATTACTTCCCATAGCCTAGAAATTTCTGCTAACTCGGCCTTATGCTTTTCATTCTCCCATTTAGCTGACATGCTGCTCTGCAGCCTCATACCAAGGTTGCCACCCTTCGCAAGACCTAGGTCCTTTTCACATCTATGGCTGCTGTACAAGCTCTCCCTCATCATATATTCATGCCATTTATTTTTATTTATTTATTATTTATTTAAAGTTTTTATATGCCATCCAATACTACAGTCTCTGGATGGCTTACAAAAAACAAAAAGCAAAACAACCACATACAACAAGCAACATACAACACACTGCATCTGACCATTAAGGATAAAATCAAAGATAAAACCAATTAACTGTTAAAATATTGGGAAAATAAAAAGGGCTTTCCCTGACACAGAAAAGAATAAAGCAATGATGCCAGGTGAACCTCGCTGAGTATATTTATTTATTTATTTATTTACTTACTTACTTACTTACTTACTTACTTACTTAAATGCAAAACCTTACATTTATCCATGTTGAATTTCTTCTTGCTTTTTTCAGCCCTGAATCACAGCATGTCAAGTTGGTTCTGTCTTCTATGGGACTGGCTATCCTCAGAGCCTTGTGCCATCTGTTTATTTGATAAGCATCCCCTCCGCACCGTCTAGGTCTACTATAAAAACAGCAGAGGGCATTAGACAGATCAACTGTTATGACCCAAGACATGGATAAGTCTCCCAACCCAAATTACCTGTGCCAGAAACACAGAGAAGCAACCCCAGTGGAAGCCACCCCCCCATCCCCTTCTTCCAAATTGCATTGCACCCTTTCTCCTGTAACATCACATCCCCAGTGCAAATAACATCCAAGTACAGTTTCCTAGGGACTGCAGGTGGCGCAGTGGTATAAACCGCTGGGCTGGTAGATCGAAAGGTCGCCGGTTCGAATCTGCACAATGGGGTGAGTTCCTGTTGCTCCGTCCCAGCTCCTGCCAACCTTGCAGTTCGAAAGCATGCAAATGCAAGTAGGTAAAAAGGTACCGCTTTGGTGGGCAGGTAACAGCGTTCCGTGCACTTCGGTGTTTAGTCATGCCAGCCACACGACCACGGAGACTGTCTGTGGGCAAACGCTGGCTCCCTCGGCTAGGAAACGTAGAGGAGCACTGCCTCCTAGAGTCAGTCATGACTGGACTTAATGTCAAGGGGAAACCTTTACCTTTACAGTTTCCTAAAGTCAAGAAATGTACTTCTGCCTCTCCTGTGTTAGTTTGCTGTGCAGCTAAATATGAACTACAAAGATTTTATTTATTTACAGTATTTTTATCCTGTCCTTAACAATGTCTCTGGATGGGTTACAAGATAGCTAATGTTGGGAAAATTTGGATAAATCCTGTCAGAAAAACATTACTTCTGTGTGCTGTTGCATTGTGGGATCAAATCTTGTCTTCCTTCTCAAAACCAAGCTGTCACTGTTTAAAATGCCATTCCCCCGCTCCTTTCTCTCACCTTTAGCTGGAAGCTACAGTAGACAGGCCATTTAGTCCAAATATACATTGTAAATAGTCATTGTTGGAATTCAGTTTACAATAATCTTTTGATAGCCCAGAGGGCTTCATGTGCCCTGATCATTCAGAATGTTTAGAGTTGAGATAAGGGTCTGAGCTTATCATGAATAGTTTCTAGTAGCTTGAATTTACATGTCTAAGCAGACCTGGAGATGGGTTCAAGTTACTCAACTAAAGTGTCAATACAATGCAGTTAGAAATATTGCAATCTCATTGTTACAGTATGATTGACTGGCATTCCTTTATCTGTTCTGTATGTGATGACCTCAGAACCTTATTGTAATGTCTACATTCTGTCATCAATTGCCCTGTACCTGTATGTGACTGGGAGTGTATAAAAACTCTCTAGTTGTGTTGAAGCTTTGCAGCAGAGTTCACCTCTGCCTGCCCGGTAATGCATGCATTATCGTGAGAGTCTACCACGGGAAACCTTGGGTTAATACAATAAAGCCTAGATGGTCTGGACGTTTGATCTTTCCCATGAACCCGAGCTTTATTTCCCCTTCTCAAATTGAGATTCCGGGATTCTGACACGAAACGTAACAATAAATAAACAGAACAAATACAATAAATGTAGTAAAGTAAAATGTGACTAAGCATGACCATTAAAAATTAGTTAAAATGTTTAAATATTAAAGTGCCAGGTAAATAAAAGGTTTTTACCTGGCACCAGAAAGAATATAACATTGGCACCAGGCGAAAACTCTCTGGGGAGAGCATTCCACAACTTTGCAGTGCTCCTGTTCCATGTTTTACCCCTCACCCCTGCTGGCTGGGAATAATGGAAGGTGGAGTCCAAGATACCTAGAGAACATCAGGCTGGGGAAGGCAATCCGAATCCAACTCCAACCCAGCCAATTCCTTCTACACTTCGGTCTCTTTCCTCTCCCTATTCCCAGCAGCCTACAACCCCTCTCCCACGGCCATTCCATGCTCCCTAAAACTCTGCCCACATTCCAAGAAATTCCCTCACTACCACAACCATCCTTTGTACTCAAGCCCCAAGCACAGCTAAGTCATTACAAGTAGCTTTGGAGCTCTGATGAGTTAATATGGGTGGGCCAGTCAGAGGGAGAGGACTGACAGACAAGGAAGTAGGAAAAGGACAACTTTAACAAGAAAAACTGGTTGCATGCCAGGTCCTCTCCAAGGAAACATGAATGACATATGATGTGTGTCCTGAGCCCATTAGCAAAACAGACACTCACTTTCTCCCTATTGACTCAAAGAAAAGCTAGATTAAACACTAGAGAGGAAGTTAAAAGGTCAGACTTCATTTTCTGCCTTACTTGATCAGACTTTGAATAGTTTCATGTGAATCTCTTCAAATCACAAGACTGCCACATGAGGAGAGGCTATAGTATGAAAACAGGAGAGGAAGAGGAAATCTCTCTGTCCTTCCTTGTTCTGGTTCTCTCTGCCTGACTGTGACCTCCAAGTATAACTTCTTGAAGCTGAGAAATCGGCTCCTGCCAGCTCCTGCACTGCACTGCTGTGCTCTTCAATCAAATATGGACAAACGGCCTTTGTACGTGTTGATTACTGTTGATTACTTCATTTTAGAGAATGCTTCCCCAGCATGGGGTTCTCCATAGGTACTGCTCTGTGCTCCCTAGAAATCCCAGCCAGCATGTCCTCACAACTGGAGTTTGCTCGTTTGAATCAAAATGAGATCCAGAGGAAATGGAATTCTGCAGTCACTGGTCATTGCCACCTTCAGCAGCCTTTCTGTCCTTCCATGAAATCACAGCCTCGGTCACAGTCCAGAAGCGCTGTTGTCACAGAATGGAAGCACATATTTTTTATGGGTGGCTTGTGGCACAGTCGTGACTGTGCTGACATTGCATGGCCAACCATGCCCAGGATCACAGAAAAGAGAGTTGTGAGCAAGATCTGAGTTTAATGAAATCAACAGCCCTCTAAGTGAGAGTGCCGCTTATCTGATTCTGATGTTCTGGAAGGAGGCACTAATCAGAGGTGAGGTCATCTGGATTATCTTTAGACAACATGCTGCCATGTAATCTTAAGGAAGCCGTAGCAGCACGCAAATGCCACTGTGTTCATTCTGAAACTCATTGCTTTATGCATGTGTAGGAGACAATGCTTTACATCAGCTTTCAAATGAACTCTTATGACTTCCAAAAAGCAAACAACTCAAGGCAGTGTGGGAAAATATTCTGGGTGGATTCGATTATTAGTATTACTTGAGTAGATCTACCAAAGTGAAGAAGACTTAAGTTAGACATGATAACCTAACTCCCATTCATTCAAAAGATCTACCGTGTTTCCCCGAAAATAAGACACTCGTATATTCTTTTTGGCTCACAAAACACACTAGGTCTTATTTTCGGGGTAGGTCTTATTTTTTTTTAATGTGTACAACAATCACATTTATTTATGTACAACAGCATGAATACATGTACATTTGGTATCACTCCGCCTGTGACAGGAGCCAGCGCTATAGAGGAAGCATCAGCTTATGCAGCTCTGCTCCCTCTGCAGGGAATGGAGGGAGCAGAGCTGCATAAGCATGTTTCCTCCACACAGTGCATTAAGTTAAAAAAATTAACTTTTTTTAAGTTTAAAAAGGCTCTTTATGTTCCCCACCGGCCCTGGGAATAAACACAGCTAGGTCTTATTTTTGGGGTAGGTCTTATATTTTAGCAAGTACCAAAAATAGTACTAGGTCTTATTTTCAGGATAGGTCTTATTTTTCAAGGAAACAGGGTACTCTAAGTAGGACTAACACAGGATTCAATTTTACATAATTTTCCTTGTCACTGTGGTGGTGACATACAATTGCAGAGAGAGCCTTCATCACAACAGTGCTAGTATCTTAGAGGAAGAACTAGGGGGAATGTGGACCACTCTACTGGCCTTCCCCACCCTGGTGCTATCCAGGTGTCAGGAGGAGGCACCTCCCATTAGGTTAAGGAAGGCTTTGATACACTGATATGCCCTTGGTGGTGATCAGCCTGATCCTACCAGGAATAGTTTGTGGGCAGCCAGTAACAATGACACGACAGCACAACATGAAGGTTCAAGATAAAAACCTTGCAAATCAGCAAGCAGATCTTGGAGCATGGAGACACCACATGTTTTGATGACTGTACTGCTCAGATGCTAAGCACAACCACAAGCAAATGCAAACTCTACCAAACCCACATGGTTGCTTGCACTGCTATTGCAGGAAGCGAAAACAGCATCACTTTGATGGCGGTGGACACATTCTAAGCATCTGTGCACCTGCTTCCTGTGTAAGAAAGCACTCCTGTGCAACACCTTTCTCTTGGATCAGTGAGTGAGAAGACTGTGTGGACCTCCATGAGAGTCCGTTTTCCACAGAGGCCGGCACTTTGGCTTCAGTGGTGTGGTGATAAATTTTGAAGTGTAGGCACTACTCATGACAGTCCCTGTAGCCATGCCATCAAGGAACACCCAAAAATCCAGGCCACAGCGCTGACCCACATTAAAAATGAAATTCAAGTTCTAGCTGTTTTATTTCCACTAGGAAGAGGTCTTTTGTAAAAGAAAAGAAATAACGGATCATAATGATCCGCTGGAGACCAAGCATCTCGAAAAATTTTGCATTACAACTGGGAACAATATATCTTTGTCTAGAAAATGACACATGGAAATTTGTCCCGAGATGGGAGCCAAACTATACTCTGTGATCTCAGAGAAGCAAGAAAAGTGAGCCTAGCAATTCTGCCAACACAACTGTTTAAATCGCCAGCCCTGTATGAAACTGAACAGCTCTGGGGATGCTCAGGCAGGGGCCAACCTAACACATTTAAGATGAACAGATGACAATGAGGATGCCCTGCCTAATTGCACCGTATGGCAAACCTCAAGAAGTTTTGCATATGATTCCTGCCTTTGCTCTGGGCAGATTACATGACTGAAGCTTGCACACAAGAGACATGATTCTCCCTTCTGATATATGTGGATAATAACGGTCCCCCTCCTCTCCGTGTCTGTGTTTTCTACCTAAGGCACGTATTGTGCTGCTAATTGCTGTACCTGCTTTCAGTCTCATGGCAGCAACGAGATCAAGTTCCATCAAAAGAAAAGCTGTTTTTTACTTGTTTTTCTGCTACACGGCCTCTAGGTGTCCTCTAGCAAAACAGCACAAATACAGTAGGAGATGCAATCCCATTTTCTCCACTCCAAAAAAACGAAATGGGTACGTCTTCTGGGAAAAAGAAGAAGGGAAGCTGGAGAATCGCGACATTGTCTCATGAACAACTGTGAGGATTCGCGATAAAGAAACTTCTTATGCAGAAAAGCCCGCTCTAAGGCTTATCTTATGTCAAGTGTTGCTGTGACACGGGAAAAGGATGTTGCTGCGCTTAGGCACGCTGGATCCTGGATTTTAAGCGCCCCAGGTGCGATTCAGCCTCCCTGAGCCTACCTTTTCTACGGCAGTGCCACCAGGAGCTCTTACTCCTGAAACTTTTTCGCACCATTGCAACTACAGGCTTGCTTGACGGGCGAAGCGCCCCCGAGCAAGGACCGCTGCTCCTCCATCGCAGCGGCCTGGGCCAAGAGAGAGGCACGTGAAAAGGCAACTCCGGAGCGGGGGACTTGTCAAAGGGTCTCTACTGGGGTGTGAGTCCTGGGCTGATGATGCCCGGACTGCCACCCGTTGATGCAGGTGCTAAGCTGAGCCGTGGCTCTTGGGAGGCGGCGTGGCAAAAGCCGCGTGGCCATCGAGACGCGGCTCGGGAAGAGAAACTGCAGCGCGCGCTGCTCGCAAAAGAGGGACACGCGGTTCGGTGTTTCCTTCCGCAACTCAGCTGACATCCTGGCGCTGCGTAGGACCGTATGAATGAGTCATATCGCGCGCGCTCGCTCGCTCGCTCGCTCGTCCCCCCCCCCCGCCCGCCGCAGAAAATGCCTTTCCAATGGGCAGGACTTAACGTGAAGAATGTGGCACTCAGGTGCCCGTCAAAGCCTTCGCCGTGAGGCGCGCAGCGGTGCAGCTCCTCCGGGCAGACGAGGAAGCGCAGGACCGGCTCGGCAGGATGGGGAGCGAAGTGCCTCACAGCCGCGAGGAGCAGAGTCCGCGCTGCCCGCACGTAAGCCACATCGCCGCCGCCGAGGCTTTTGTTTCTGGAGCCGCGGGAGGAGGGGAGACGTGGCGCGCAGGGGCGGGGGCAGCGGGTGCCGCGGGTCGCGCTTGGGTCCGGTTCTTGCCAGCGGGGGTTGCTATGGTCGTCGCCTTTCGCGCGCGAGTGGGTGTGGAGGGGGTCCTTACCGAGGCTCAGAGCCCGCACAATTTGCCTGCCTGAACAAGATCGCCAGAACACAAAAGAAAAGGTCCGCCCCTCCGCACAATTTCCCCCCGTCTATGCACACACGCGGAGTTAAATCCGTGAGAGCGCCCCGCTTGGCGCGGAATGCCTGCTCTTCATTCGTGCGAGGGGACCCGGGTTCGTTTCCATTCTACCACGACAGCAACAGAGAAATGTTATGACTGGAAGCGATTTAGTTAGCGAATTTCTAGGCAAGAGGGACGTTGTGGCTCAGGTCTGTTGTGGCAGCCTCGCTGGCTGGAAACCGTTTATTTCCCCACCCCACAATCCATCCACGACTTGCGTGCTTCTTTGGCAATGAAGGAAATGCATCAGAAGCACTTTGCTCAGAAGCATTTTGATCTCCTTACGCGGGCACTGAAAGGGGACGCCAGGGCTGACTTACAGCGCAGATCAAAACTACTTGGTCAGTTTAAGGCTTCCCTTCCCTGGAGGCTCCTGGGGACTTCACATCCAGAGGCGGGGTTGGAGCCCCGAATCTCTGGGAGGCAGTCGGCCCAACCACCGGGCTGTTCGCGGGCACTTGTTGCAGTGCTGCTCCACAGGCCTTGATGCTCTGTTGCATCTCATCCCCAAGAGGGGCTGTCTTTTTGCCCACAGGTGCTTCCACACCGGCCACCCCTCCACACCTGAATCTTTCTGCCTGAGGATTTTGCTGAAATCGAATGCTCTTCTCTCCCTTGTCCATGCATCTTTTTTTTTTTTTTTTACAAAGAACAATGCCCTTCAGAGACAAAGACACCAGAGAGATACACTTTAGAGCATGGGTCCTCAAACTATGGCCCGGGGGCCGGATCCTGCGCACCATGCCCATTTATGTGGATGTTTCACTTCACTTCAAAATACATTGAGCCAGCATGGCTACCCTCAGGTGTTCCCTTCTTCATCCTACCTGGACAGAGCAGGATTTTTAGGCCAACCAGGATGTCCCCACTGCTGAGCAGAGATATTTGATTGAACAGGAAGAGTCTGACTGTTCTGTAGCAGTTGCTTTGTATTTATCCAGAGCTACCATTTCCTAGCTGGTGTCTTGTACAATGTGTGATTTTAGACTTGAGAACTAGGAAGCTCTGAGGAAAATGCATGTTAGTTTTTGACAAGCTGTTTCCTCTGAAAGTCTTTTAATCTCTTCTTGGGAAAATAGGCACACCTGATGTAATAGTTTCCAGCCCTGTGTCTGTTTTCTCGGAAGGCTGTCCCACTGAGTTTCTTGGAAGACAGCTCCACTGCAATCTACACAGGGAGGGAATGCTCTTCAGACATCTTGTTCTTTTTTCTGTAAATGTGTGCATGGCAGAGTAGGGTCATTGTGTGCCCTATTCATGTGGTCACTTGAAAGCTGAAACGGCAAGGTGTTTCCTCCTCAGGGCTTTCACCTCTGTTCTGAAACATGATTGATGTCTTAGGAACTAGTCCTAGCTCTGGGCACCTGTGTGCATACAAGAAAGTCCACGTGTACAGGAAAAGTTTGGTGTTGTGGATTTAGAATGAGCAAAATGCAGGTCATTAGGATGGGTGCAATGTGTGTGCACAGACAGGACAGACACCTTGCTAGGGCCACTGAGTTGGAGCTGCTTACTTAAAGGCCTGAAGGCAGAGGAGGAGTATCTCCAACTCAGGGTGATGCCATGGGATGTACATGCCATCTCCAGGGGTCCTTGCAAGGTATATCTGTTAGGCTCCATGAGATCTCTTTACAGCTACCCCCCCACCCCCCCCCCCCCGCCACAGCGACAATGTTGTATGGCAAAATAGGGCAGCCAGCTACCAGCCATGGGGCTGCAGCACAGGCACAAAGGTTCACCTTAGTAGCATTTGATGGTCATACTCCTCCCTGTCAAGCCTGGGGCCCCAGTCTGGCCCTGTGGAGTCGTAATGCAGCCCTCTGGGATTGTCCAGATGGCTCCAGTCCTCTGTGGTTGCCAAACTGCCTCTGTTCCTTTCCCCCAACCAACAAGTGTTTAGTGGCTTCTTGGCTTTTCTATACTTTCCCCTATTCCAAAAGTTGACTATTCTTATTATTACTCCATCCATTTTTTTTCCTTCCAAAGAACCCAGAGTAGCATATTAAATCCTCTTTTCCCCTAGTTTATCCTCATAACAACCCTGTGAGGCAGGTTTGGCTAGTGAGGACTCAGTGACTGCTCCAAGGTCAACCAGTGAGTTTCACAGCCAAGCAGCAACTAGAACCCAGATCTCCTGGGTCCCAGTCCAGTGCTCTACACCACTACACTAGACTGATTTTCTTTTTGCTACGTAAAGAAAAGCATCTGTCATTATAATGTGGTTTCTAGTTCCTAGCTGTGCTACATTGCTGGACTAGTCTTTCCCTCCTGTGTCTGCAAGAATCGCATATTCTCTACTGTCTACACCACACTGGCTCTCTCTAAGGCCTAATCACTGGCAGTAAGAGGTTTAAGCTAAAATGCGGCAACAATGGGGGTATTTTGGTCCTGCTACTGGTGTCTTTAGCCCTGTCCTTTTGTCTTCAGCCTCACCACCACTGAAAAGAGCTTCCCTAAAATGGAAGCTTGCCCTCAGCCTGAAAGAGGTTCAAGGCCTCTGTCCAGCTGCATCCCCGTAAGCAAGGGCTGGGGCATTTGGAACACATTTTGGGACATCATGGGAATATGCCTCATTGAAGTCACTGGTGACTTCACGTATTAAGAATCTAGCTTCTCCTGTCTAAGTGGTCCCCTCCCAGATTCTGTTTTCTTCATCACACCAGAGTCCTATAAAAGGCAGAAAACTAGCTTAATATAAGTATTTGACTCATAAGCCCCACTTCACTGATTGTGACAGTTTCAGATTTATCGGGGCACATTCTGATGAGCCTGGGCTGCAATATTTAGGACCACAATTACTGAAGAAGGTGGCTTATATGTCTCTGTCAAAACAGAGAATTCAGTATGTACCCTGGGATGACCACGATCCTGAAATGATGATCCAAAGCACCTGAAAAGTTGATTCCTAGCATGATGCAAAACTCTGGAAAATGTTTGTGTTAGCCTCTCTGTGTCAACAGATGAGGTACTATGTTTATAGGAGAGTTTTGCATTGCTCCAAATAAAGCTATGTCTGAGACGGAAAGCTGGATTATGGGCATCAAATTGCCTCTGCAGGCTTGGATTTGGGAGGAAAGGTACTCCTGGTAGCAGACATGAACACGTGTGCATATATTTATGCATTACAATGCATACTGAATTGAAATCATCTCCTTCCTATATCTCCCTCTGGCAAAAGATTAGTAGGGCCTGTAGCACTGTGCCCAAGCAATAGCTGAGAGGCCATAGCTGATGAACCAACTGAAAATGGTAAAAAGCACTCCAACCACTGTGGTCACTTGGGACTTCAGCAACAGGCTGTGAACCTGCTCTTTCAGAGTAAGTACATCCACAGCAGGATGAGCCTCTCTCCTGGATCCGGGAAGCACTAGCCCACAGGATCTGCCAGGGTTCTGCGTCGGTTCACTGGCCCTCACCCAGCCCGTCACTGAGTCCAGGCAGTGATCCAGGACTTGCACAGTAGTCTCTTTTCATTCAGTTGTCAAAGGAAGACAGAGCTGTGTGTCAGCTGTGTTTATGGATGACTCCAGGTACCTAGTGACTTCATGCAGATGTTGTACAACACAGGCGACAAGACGGGAGCTCACAGAACTTGATAGCTCAATTACCAACAGGCTGAGCAATGGGCATCCAGTCTTGCTTTCTGAAATGAGCCCTGCAGATAAGAATGGAGCCACTGTAGCACAGTGCCCCCAACACGCAACCCACAGACTCAAACCAGGAGGCGTCCATAGCTGATGAGAGATTAGGTAGAATTAATAGGGTTGCACTCCAGCTGTCCCTCTCCCAGTGAAGATCATCCATCAGGGCAACAAAGGCTGATCTGATCCAGAGACCTGGTGAAATGAGTGTAATGAGTCTAAGGAACAGGTGTCCTCCAAGATTGCCTGCAGGTGCTCCACCGTGACCGGCTCAAGTACTTTCCCTAAGAAAGCAGCATGTGTGACTAGGTGGTAGTCGTCCAACACCACTGGGTCCAGACTGGGTTTTGTCAGGAGAGGTCGCACCCGTGCCTCCTTAAGGACAGCAGGAGCCACCCCTTCGTGCTGAGATGCATTTTCCTGGACCCACCTAGGTAGCTTTTATTAGCCATGAGGGGTAAGGACTCGGGCAGCATGGGGTCAGTTGTACTGTGGCAAGCAGAGTATCCACTTCATCAGGCCTCGGCAACTGAAGCTAATTCCACAAAACCGAGTAGGTGGCAGCATCAGATACCTCAACTGGTGCTAACAACAGCATCGAGTTTGCTGTGGGGACAGACAATTTCGTGTTGCGACAAGGTCGCAGAGGATCTTTGAGGGGGCCGTGTGCTGGGGAGATCGTTAATGGCCACCAGTCCACCTGAAACAGCTCCTCTGGATGGCTACTTGAGGACAC